GAGAAATGGATCAATGATTGACTTTGCGCAGGCTTGAGAAAAGGTCTGGCAAGATGTCAAGAAGAGAAATGGATGAGTAATTGACTTTGCATGGGTTTTAGAAAAGGTCTGGCAAGATGTCCATAAAAGAAATGGATGAGTAATTGACTTTGTATGGGCTTGAGAAAAGGCTTGGCAAGATATCCAGAAGGGAAATGGATGAGTAATTGACTTTGCGTGGGCTTGAGAGAAGGTCTGGCAAAACGGCCAGAAGAGAAAGACATGTGTAATTGGGTTTTGTGTAAGCCTAAGGAAAGGTCTGGCAAAACGTCTGAGAGAGAAATATATGTGTAATGGATTTTGCATGAGTATGAAAAGGGTCTGGCAAGATGTCAGAAGAAAGATGCGTATGAAATGAACTAAGTAACGCAGATTTTTTTGAGCTTAGGTACAAAAAAGGTCGAATGGGGGTGACGTGCATGCGGAATTGGCAAGGCTAGAGAAAACTGGGCAGAATGACATGGGAAAAATACATGTGAATTCGGCGAAGCATAAGATTGAGGAAAGAATGACGGGAGGCGTGAATAACACGGGTCGAAAAACCAAGTAAAAGAAGCTCTGAGGGCAACCGAGGCCAGAAAAGGGACGTGACTGGCACGGGGTGGATGGACGAACGACAAAAGGGCGATAGGGTTGGCAAGGCTCGTTGGAGAAGCAGGGGCAACGAAAGGGGAAAGCTGAAAAAGGGGTCTGATGTACTACGGATGATGAATGAGATGAAAGAATGATTGATGCTCTGAGGGTGATGAACGAGACGAAAAGGTTTTTTTTATGTATTACGGGTGATGAATGAGATGAAAAGAAGGATTGATGCTCTGAGGGTGATGAACGAGACGAAAATGGTCTTTTATGTACTACGAGTGATGAACAAGACAAAAGGGGTTTGATGTACTACGGGTGATGAATGAGACAAATAGGGTCTGATGTTCTAAAGAGTGACGAATGAGATATGAGAAGCTTAAAGGACAAAGAAAGTTTGACCATATACACCCCTCCTCGTTCCAAGGCCGGAAACTAGAAAAAAATTGAGAAAGGAGCAAGAAAAGACAAAATGGACCCTGGCAAACTAACTACCCATAACATCTTCTCCTCCTCTCCCGTCTATCCCCCCAAAACCCACTAACAAGAGATTGGTGCGCGATGAGGACATCGTGAATGAGTGGGGGGAATGTGTCAGGACTGGTGAGTCCCGGATAACTTCCCATCACTCAAGAGACTGAATATAGACGAATTGTGCACAACAGAGAAATCTGGAGTAAGAAGGCAGGAGAGAGAAAAAACAAAGGATTAGGCCACAAGAGGGAGTGATGTTCTGGGGTGAGAACCACAGGAGGAGAAAACCAGCGACGGTACGAGAATAAGCGCAAGAGCAGGGGCATATAGGACGTAGCATGAGGCCGGGAGGGCCATTGGGATGCAACAAGACTAAGGCTAAAGGGCCCTAGAACCCGCAAACGCAGCACGACAGCGACAAAGAAATGGGGGAGTCGAGAGATGGACAGCCCGGAGGCCGTGGGAAACACGAGAACGAGGGCCCAACATGGGGGCCACCTACGGGAACCTTGGTTGGAGGCCTCGCGACCAAAGGAACAGGCACGCGCAGGGCGCAAGAAAAAACAAGGGAGAAGGGTCGTCGTAGGGCGGCAAAACGCCCAAGGGACGTGGGATACTTCGGGGAAAGGCACCCGGGGCCATGTGGGACTAAGGAAAAATAATGACATCCGGGGCGAAATGTGTCGGGGACCACCCGCGGGACTAAGTGTCGGGGACCGCCGATGGGACTAAGTGTCTGGGACCGGCGGTGGGACTAAGTGTCAGGGACCGCCGGTGGGACTAATTGTCGGGGACCGCCGGTGGGACTACGTGTCGAGGACCGCCGCTGGGACGGATGGCGGGGACATGTGAAGAAACGGCGGTCCTCATGGTGGGACTACGTGTCGAGGACCGCCGCTGGGACGGATGGCGGGGACATGTGAAGACTACGTGTCCAAGAAGAAACGGCGGCACCGCATGAGGGAAACTAATAAAGGCAAGGTGCACCGTCAAGATCGAGATCTTGACGGCCAAGAATATTAGCACCACTAGTGCAAGCGCTAGCGGTAGCAAACTGGAAGGCCCAAAAAAAAAGAAAAAGTAAGGAAACATGAGATGGGAGGCATGGGAGCAATCCGAAAAATCTCGGGTCAGCCTTCCTCAAGAAAATGGAGTCAAAAGAGACCCCATGTGAAAAATAGCCCCTGGGAGAAAATCGGAATAGGAGGGGCCACTATGGGAGGAAAATAGAAGTAAAGGGAAGCTCCCATGGGCATGAGAAGGCCATTATTGCAGTCCGAGATAAAACGGACTGCACCTTGGGCATAGGAAGGGCCAAAACTAAGAGGAAGGGGCTAGAAAAGGGCCTTAACGGCCACTTGACACTTGGCATGCTAGAAAAAAGACAGAAAAGAAAAGAAAATGTGGGAGAATAAGACAAGAAGAGTGAGAGGGAGTGAGTGAGTTGGCTGTCAGTAGGGACTGCCACAAGTAGGGACTGGTAGGTCCCTACTGTCCAAGAAAGGAGGAAAAAAAAAGAAAAAAAA